GGAAAGGGGAGGGGCAGCGGGGGAGGGGGCTTCAGAAGGGGGGGAACACCCCAGATCTCAGGGAACCCCGCCCCCTGCCCTTCCCTCTCCCCTAGAAAAGGGGGGGCCGTCTCACCCCCCGCGCCCCCTTGGAGACACCCCCCTCCCAAAAGCCATGTCCATCCAGCCCTTCCCCCCAAACCTAGCACAAAACGGGGTTCACAAGCCATGGTCGGGGTCCGGGGGGCAGAGGTGGATTTTCTTGGCAATAAGCGGACTCTGGGACTCCGGCCCCTACCCCCAATTGAAGCGCTTCCGTGAACACCCCGCCCTCCGCAGGGGGAGGGGAGCAGGCGGGGTCCTGGGTCCCCCATAAGCACTTTGGTTTCCCCGCCTGCGACTCACTGTGCCCGGCCCGCTGCGCCCAGCCCCGGCCCGGCCCGCCCGGGGCGCCCTGGGGGCGTCGCTGCCCCTCGGGTGGGGCCGAGCGGATGCCCCCCGGCCCTTCCTCGCCTTCCCTGCCCCCCAGTCCGGATTCCATTCTTCTCACCAGCACCCATCGCCCAAGGGGTACCGAGGGGGGCACGGGGTGTCCAGTCCAAGCCCACCCCCGCCTCGCCTTCCGCAAAACTGTGAGCAAAAAGCAATAGAAGCCTCGCCCCCGCCCCCCGCAGACCCGCCTAGTCCGTAGCCCCCCCAGACCCCCCACCCCGGCCCGGACCTCACGGACGCCCCCTCCGCGCACCCCGGGCGGGGCCGCCCCCCGCCCCGTCTCCTCTCGTCAGCCCCGTGGCGCGGGCCGCACCGCCCGCCCCCCGACAACTCTGCTTGACGATGTAGCACCCCGGCCCCCGCCATGTCTCCCCCCTTTGCCTCTCCCCGACAATAAAGTCTGGATTCGTTGCCCTCCGCCCCCCCGACTCGGACTCTCAGTCTTTGCGCGCGGTTTGGGGAGCACCGCGATGGGGGTTCCCGTGTGGAGACAGGAGCCGGCGCGGCGGCCAGGGGACCCGGAGGACGGGCCGAGGAGGGGGCGGGGGCGGCGGGACCCGAGACTGCAAGCGAGGGGAGCCCCCCACCCCCGTTCCCCCCCCCCCCCCCCCCCCCCCCGGCTCAGGTGGAGACCTGGCCCCGGGAACCGCTTCCAGGCGGGCGCGCACGGCCGCCCAGGCTGCGGGGAATTCGCCGCGGCTCCACCAGGCGGCGCCAGCGACACGGAGACGGTGTCTGGGCGGCTCGTCCCGCGGTCTCCAGGCTGGGGAAGGAGGTGTAGACCAGGCTCGGACAAAGGGAAGAATCCAGGCTTTTGTGTCTCTGGTGGGAAACCCATCACGGCCGCAGGCAAGGTGTGGGGAGAAGCGGGAGCAAGGACCGAGGTGTTGCTGGGCCCATAGACACAGTCACCTCGGGTTAGTCCCTCCCTCTGGTTCTGTTTCCCCAACTGCAAAATGAGCAGGTTTGAGTCTCTTAGAAGTTCTTTGAGGGCCTCCCCGGTGGCGCAGCCGGTTGAGCACAGAGCTGTGAAGCTGTCCGCAGCCTCTGCAGTGCTGGTTCCTTTCCCCGGTGGCCAGGGAGCTACCCACATGGCGCGGCAGACCGCTCCCGCCTTGCCCGCTGCTCCCCTCAACAGTGTGTTTCGTCAGTCTGCCTGTTCTGCTCCCGGGTCTGCCTCTGGTGAGTCCTCACACCCTCCCGCGCCTCTGGCTTGTACCCCTGCTCTTGTATAAAAATAAATAAATCTTTATTTAAAAAAAGAAGAAGTTCTTCGAGACTTCACAAATCCCAAGCTAAAGAACCAGGATGGTGGCATCTACAGCTGCGCTGGACAACCTCCTCATCTCGCCCCCCAAGTGTTCTGTGGGACAGGGGAGTGCTCTGCTCAGCTGCCTCCCCCTGGTGCTGGGGAAGGGGTCACTGACCTGCACTATTCAGCTCAACCACAGGCTCCCAAGAGCACCAACGACTCCGTGGCTCCCTCTCCCTCCAGCCCTGCTGGGCTGCAAGACGCTCAAACAGGGAAAAAAAACTGGCATCTGTCAAGGTCCTTCTAAGTAGCATCCTCTGAGCTCATTTCCCCTCTAGCCACTTCTCGGTCTTGTGAAAGAAATGAGGAAGGGATGTGGGATGAGGCCTGCTGAAGAGGAAGGAGAGGAAATAGGGGCCTCCTGCGTTTGTCAATCGTGAAGTTGAAAGTGTGGGTTCAGAAATGGAGCCCAAAGAAGAGTTTTGGGCTTTTTTCTTCAAGTGGATCTAACTTTCTAAAACGGCAGAGACTGCAGTTCCGGCAATCTGAGGGCAAGGCTGCCTCTCTAGAAGAGTGGGTGGGGAAAGCAGGAATTTGGTCACATGTGAGGAGAGAAAAAGAGGCTGGAAGAAATTGGGGTCAGAGGGGTTAGGATGCCCCACGGGTACCTCAGACATGTTTTAAAACAATTCATGGTTGGGCCTCCCTGGTGGCTCAGGGGTTAAAGACAATGCTACCAAGATATCACCAGCCACTGCAGCATGAGTTAGATCCTGGCCTTCCAGGGAGCAACCCACGTGGCACAGCAGACCTCTCCCGCCTCGCCTGCTGCTCCCCTCAGCTCGCCTGCTGCTCCCCTCAGCTCCCCTCAGTAAATCTACCTGTGCTGCTCCCCACTCTCTCTGGTGAATCCTCTCACCCGCCTCCCACCTTCTTGCACCTCTGGCTTGCACCCCAGTTATTGTATGCATAAATAAATAAATCTTAAAAAAATAACAATTCATTTACCTCTTTCCCCAAGCTTGCTGAGCTTCCCACACTCCTATCTGATTAAAAGCGCCCCCATCCACCTGGAGAATGGGCGTTATCCTAGCTCTTTCCTCTTCCCAACCCTTCCTCTGATAAGTCACTAATTCCTGCTTGACCTCCTAAGGCGCGATCATTCTCTCCTCACAACCATGGCGCTAACCAGGACTGGCTACAGAATTTGCGGGGCCTGGTGAATAACGAGAGAGCAGAGCCCCTTATTCAGAAAGGATCTCAAGACAGTGTCTCAGAGCATTAAACTAGCCCCCAAGCCTTCTAAGTGCAATTCCACAGTGGCAGGCCCGTGAAGCCGACTGGCGGGACCTAGGCCCTGCCTGCTGCTTTCCTGACCTGGTGCCTCTTTCCTGGTCTCTCTTGCCTCTGGCCTACACATTCCCATTCTTTATTTGGCCGAGTGCAAATTTCCCCATGGCCTTCAGGATAAAAACCCCAGCTCCTCAGCATAAGACACAGGCCTTCCTTGATCCTGGCCCTGCTCACCACTCCAGAATGCTCTGGAAGTCTCTTCCTCACACTCTGTGATGCTATGCATCCGGTTCCCTTGTCTAGAATGTCCTTTTATTTATCTCCCCCAGGCATCTCTCTGTGAACCCTTTCCCGAGCTCCTGCTTAGCTGCTGTTTCATTTCTTTTCTCTATGCCCATAATACACTTTTTTTTTTGGAAGTTTTATTTTAATAAAAAAGAAAGTCAAGGCCGTCCTGGTGGCCTGGGGGTTAAGTCAGCGCTATCACTGCTACAACCCACCACAACTGCCTGAGTTAAACTGTGCCAGGATGCTGACCCACATTTCCTAACCATATAGATTCCCCGACACACTTTGGAACAAGGGTCAGCAAAGTTTTTCTTAAAGGACCAAATAGCAAATATTTTAGATTTTGCTGACCAAGAGGCAAAATTGAGGATATCATAGGGGTACTTATGTAACCATTTAAAAAATAACCATCTGAGGGCCCCGCTGGTGATGCAAGGGGTTAAGTCTCAGCACTATGAAGCAATCCGCAGCCAGGGAGCTAACCCACATATGGCGCAGCAGACCTCCCCTGTGTCCCCGCTGCTCCCCTCAGCACTGTATTTCAGTCAGTCTGCCTGTTCTGCTCCCCACTCTGGTGAATCCTCTCACCCCCCCACACACACCTCTGGCCTATATCCCGGCTCTTGTATGCATAAATAAATAAATCTTTAAAAAAATAACCATTCTAAAATGGAAAAAACATGCTTGGCTCACATTCCATGCAAAATAGATAATGGGAATGAATGACATAGGCCTAGTGTAAAAAGAACTAGTTAAGGGCCTCCCCGGTGGCGCAGCGGTTGAGCGCTGGGTTGCAAAGCTGCCCGCAGCCTCTGCAACACCGGTTCGATCCCCGCCTGCTCCCCGGCCACCAGAGGAGGGTCCCACATGGCGCGCAGACCTCTCCTGCCGCCCGCTGCTCCCCTCAGCAGTGTACTTCGGTCCTTCTGGCTCTGGTGAATTCTCTCACCCTCCCCTGCTTCTGACTGTAAATAAACAAATAAATCTTTAAAAAAAAAAAAGAACTAGTTAAGCATTTGCACATTTACATTATCTGTCCCTTCACTAGACTACATGCAAGCAAGTATCACAGCTTCTTGTATCCCTTGTATCTAGCTGAGACTGTGCACAGCAGGCCCTCTTGCTAAGTGAATGGATGAATGAATGAACAGGAGCAAAGTCAGAACTCTGGCTGCTTTTTTCCCACCTTTCTTTTTTTTATTATTTTTAAACAATATTTGCCGCTCCCCACCCCCTCAGATTGAGTCCCCATAGAATTTCCTCCCCCAAGGCACCTATCTGCCTCCTTTCCTCTGTGCTGGGCTATCACATGGGACCTTGTGCCATTTCAGATCTGCTCCCAAACCAACCCAAGGCTTCTGGGATAACTCAGCCCTGTCCCTTGGCCCCTTGAGGATTTATTTATACACTTCCCACCCAAATCGCTTTCCCTGAGTTTTCAGCACCAAGGGGATTGTGCTAGCACCTGGGGGTGGGGGGACAGTCAGAAGCGCGGGAGGGTGAGAGAATTCACCAGAGCCAGAGCGGGGAGCAGAGCAGGCAGAAGGACCGAGGTACACTGCTGAGGGGAGCAGCGGGCGGCAGGAGAGGTCTGCGCGCCATGTGGGACCCTCGCCGGTGGCCGGGGATCGAACTGGCGCTGCAGAGGCTGCGGGCAGCTTCGCAGCCCAGCGCTCAACCGCTGCGCCACCAGGGAGGCCCTCCTGACAATTCTTGACAAAAAGAGCGGAAGGAAATGGAACTTGGGCCTCAGCAAGAAGTGAGATGACTTTGGGGTAAGTCTTTCACCAGTCAGAGCTCAATGAGTAGTTCAGGAGGTAAGGGAGGAAGTGGCTGCGATTGGGTAACTCAGGAGTTTTCTGTTCTTTCAGGCTAGTATAATAGGAGACAGGAGAGCAGGGTACCTCCGGCCGGGAGCTTCAGTGCCCAGGACTGTTCTTTCAGTGAACTGGACTTCTTCCACTGGAGAGAGAATTGAACTTGGGAGACAGGTGAGTCGCTTTGGGCTGGGTCCACTTTGACTTTCTCTGTCTTCTCATCTGCCAGGTGGTAAAACAGAAAAGAATTGAGACCTGTATGTGTGGGCAGCCACAGCAGCGTCCCAAGTAGAGAGCGGGCACTCCGGGGAGGGCTGAGGGGTCGGAGAAGGAAACAGAAAGGATGGACAGCGCTGGGGTTACTGAGAGTATCTGGATGGATAATGAAGAGGCCTGGTGTTTGGAGAGAATGACACTAAGAGATATTTAGATAAGAACTTGGGAAGGTCTTTGAGAACGGAGATGACTAAGACAACCTCAGGAGGAGACTGGGGATCTGGAGATGAAACTGACCAGGTGCGGCTCTGGAGGCTGGTGCCCTTCCGGAGCAGTCAGGTGCCCAGGAAGCCAGAATTATTCAAGGGATTTCAGTTCAAGGCCAGATCTGACTTCCTCTTCTTTTTCTACCCATTCCTCTTCAGCCTCCATTATGTGGAACATCTCCAACGCCAGCTTCTCCTGCTACCACGAGTCTGTGGTGGGCTATCGTTACGTTGCTGTCGTCTGGGGGGTGGTGGTGACTGTGACAGGAACCGTGGGCAACGTGCTCACCCTGCTGGCCTTGGCCATCCAGCCCAAGCTCCGTACCCACTTCAACCTGCTCATCGCCAACCTCACATTGGCCGACCTGCTCTACTGCACCCTTCTCCAGCCCTTCTCAGTGGACACCTACCTCCACCTGCACTGGCGCACGGGCGCCACCTTCTGCAGGGTCTTTGGGCTGCTCCTTTTCACGTCCAACGCTGTCTCCATCCTCACCCTCTGCCTCATTGCCCTGGGACGCTATCTCCTCATTGCCCACCCAAATCTCTTTCCCCGAGTTTTCAGCGCCAAGGGGATTGTGCTAGCACTGGTGGGCTCCTGGGTGGTGGGGGTGGCCAGCTTTGCCCCCCTCTGGTCCGTCTATATCTTAGTCCCTGTAGTCTGCACATGCAGCTTTGACCGCATCCGAGGCCGGCCCTACACCACCATCCTTATGGGCATCTACTTTGTGCTCGGGCTCAGCAGTGTGGGCATTTTCTATTGCCTCATCCATCGCCAGGTGAAGCGCGCAGCAAAGGCGCTGGACCAGTACAAGCTGCACAAGGCAAGCATTCGCTCCAACCACGTCGCTGGGACAGATGAGGCCATATCTGGTCGTTTCCAGGAGCTGGACAGCGGGCTGGCATCAGGAGTGCCCAGTGAGGGGATTTCTTCTGAACCAGTCAGTGCTGCCACCACCAAGACTCTGGAAGAGGACTCAGCAGAAGTGCAGGGGCAGAACAACAGCAAACAAGCTAAGCAGACGGCAGAGAAAAGCCCTCAAGGCGCGCCCACTAACACCAAGCCAACTAGAGGAGTCCACAGAGCTCAGGACTCTCCGTCAGAGTTTGGGAAGGTGACTCGGATGTGTTTTGCTGTGTTTCTCTGTTTTGCCCTCAGCTACATCCCTTTCTTGCTGCTCAACATCCTGGATGCCAAGGTCCAGGCGCCCCGGGTTGCCCACATGCTTGCTGCCAACCTCACCTGGCTCAATGCTTGCATCAACCCTGTGCTCTATGCAGCCATGAACCGCCAGTTCCGCCAAGCCTACGGCTCCCTCCTAAGACAAGGGCCCGGGAGTTTCCGTCGGCTCCGTTAGAAGCATCTCCCCAGTCACCAGAATCCAGCACTGGCTTCCCCAGGAGGAATGTGGCCAGCCGATGTGGTAGTAGACGAAAGGAAAACCTGTGAACCTTTCCACAGACAGCCTTCCCCCTCCCCTCCCCCGCCCAAACCCCCAAACCCGGCCTCTCTAGTCCTTTTGTTGTTTTAGCCCTAGGTTGCCCAAAGTGCACCTTATTAATAAATGAGTTCTATCCTTTTAATGCTCAGGTGTGGACCTTTGGGAAAGAAGGAAATAGGGCAGGGGTGGTTGGAGCTGGCACCTAATAGTTGAGGGGAGCTGGCACTTAGGGCAGAGCAGGGGCAGGAAACAGTGGGTGCCTGGGACACAGCCTTCAGCTGAGAGGTGTCCAGGGGTAAAACCTGTGAGTTGGCTTAGGAGAACTTCCCAGAAATGGCCCCTACTCCTAACTACTGCTGCCGGGAACCCCCAACCCCACGAACAGGTTCCTTCACCTTAAAATCTTTGCGATCCAGCCTTCAGAGCCACTCCCGTAAGTCCAGATCTCTGCTCCTTGAACTTTGCAAAGAGAATGGTCAGGAAGGACTCCTTGCCCTGTGGAAAGGGGCTGAGCTTAGCTGAGGTAATGGCAGGCAGGAGTCCCAGCCGCCAGGGGTCACTCTGGTTGGAGATAATTCACCTGGGTCCTGGGCCCTGTTCCTCCAGAATGGGCACTTCTTGCCATTTTAGATGAGGGAAGCAGAGCACAGAAAGTAGATAAGAGGGTCCCGGGACGAGGCTGAGGAGAGCCCAACCTTTTCCTTCCTCCAACTTGACCAACAGCTGCCACCCGCGTGCAGGCGGCTGCTCAAGCCCGAAACACCTGTGGCCACCAGGTGACGCTAGTTCTCTATTTCCTTCCTGGCTTTCCTGCTGAGGAGCGTCGGCGTCAGCCCCACTAAGAGTCAAAAGACCACCCCCTCCAGATCAGGGCCAGGGAGGCTGGGACCCAAGGATCTGCACCAAAATCTTAGGAAGAAAACCGATGAATTAGATATTAATTATTCGTGAGCTATTTGTCTACTTCTTTGGGGCGGGGGTCAGGCTGCTGGGCTGGCCCTGGGGATAGAACGTGAGTCGTGCCACCGCAGCTACAGGCTGTCCCCTCGCTGCTCTGAAATCCACGGCTTGAGAAAACCAAAAGTGAAGTTCCGAGAGATTCGGACAAGGATGGAAGAATCATCGGATGGACTGAGAGCCTCACAGCACACTTCAGGCTCCAGGTGCCCAACCTGGAACATGTGCTTCTTAGTATCCTCCTTCCACAAAATTCACCCTAACCTACTCTAAGTCAAGGTGAGGCTACTGAGGCGAGGCCCAGACAGGTGGGTGAACAGCAGGTCCAGTAACGGAACACAGCCTGGGAGCAAGCAGTCGGGGTTCCAGCCCAGGTTCTCTGATAATTAGCTCTATGAACTTCAGCAGGACTCTGGGCCTCAGGTGCAAAGTTGGGGGTGGGGTACACTCTTACCATGCGCCCAGGATTGTTCTAAATCCTGTAAATACATAGTTTTTTAAAAAATTTATTTATTTATGCACACAAGAGCTGGGGTACAGGCCAGAGGTGTGGGGCGGGGGTGACAGGATTCACCAGAGACAGAGTGGGGAGCAAGAACAAGCAGACTGACTGAAATACACTGCTGAGGGGAGCAGCGGGCGAGACCGGAGAGGTCTGCCACGCCATGTGGGTAGCTCCCTGGCCGGCCAGGGATGGAACTCGCGCTGCAGAGGCTGCGGACAGCTTCCCAGTGCGGTGCTTGACCCCTTGCGCCACCGGGGAGGCGCTAAAAGGGTTCACTTTTCATGTCCCTTGAAGGCAATTCAAAAGCTTTGGCAAGTAGGAAAAGAAACAACCAACAGCAATGTGGACTGAGGTTAGACCTCAGGCGGGACTTTCCAGTTATCGGGTACTGGAAAAAATGACTCGGGGGACACCGGAGGGAGCCTGGACTGTGCGACCTGAGAGACGGCGCGTACCACGAAGCAGCCCCTCCCCTCTCAAACGCCCCCGCCCCTCATTTTCCTCAGGGCTGAGGGGACGGCGCGTTAGCCGGGCCGCCTCCCCTCGCGGGCGTCCGTCTCGCGGGCGGGCGTGACGCGCGGGGCCCCGCGCCGGATCCCGCAGGGCGCGAGCTCGCGCGTTTTTCGGGTTCGCGTCCGCCTCTTTGTCTCTTTATCTCTGTCAGTCTCCCGCCCGGCCGGGCGCGACCGCGGACGCTCTCTCAGGTGGCTCTTTGTCTCTCCCCATCTGTCCGGCTCTCCTGGAGGGGAGGCCGGCTCCATCTCCCGCACCTCCGCCAGCGCCTTTTTTCTCCTCAGCGCCCCGCGCCCCCGCCCCCGCCCGCGCCCCCGCCCGCGCCCCCGCCCGCGCCCCCGCCCGCGCCCCCGCCCGCGCCCCCGCCCGCGCCCCCGCCCGCGCCCCCGCCCGCGCCCCCGCCCGCGCCGCTCTCGCTCGCGCGCACTCTCTCTCTCTCCCTCGCTGTCTCCTCCCGGCAGATTTATGGTCAGCCCAGGGCCTTTCATTGGCCCAGCGCTGACAGGACTTGATTTAACGCCGCCGCTCATTGGCTGAGCTTGACAGGCCGATTTACGAGTCGCTCTACCATTGGCCAAGGCGCCGGGGCCCTGATTTATGGCTCGGTGGCTGCAGGAAGGGGGCGCCGTTGGGGAGCGGGGATGCCCCTCCCCTCGGCGCCGGGGCCGTCTCCCTCTCCCCTGCTTTCTCCGCTTTCTCCCCCTCCCCTCAGGAGCTGCGCTCCCGCTACCTGTTCCTCCACCCCTCCCTTCTCTTCCTCCCGGGGGGCGGGGGGGGGAGGTGGGGTGCGGTGGTGACGGGAACTGAGCTGAGGGGAGTGTGAGGGGTAACGTGGCGAGGAATCTGGGGGGCAGGGATGGGGTGCAGTGGGGAGAGACGGGGAGGTTGCCGAGGGAGAGAGGACCTTGCGCTGAAGAGCGGAGGGCGGGCAGGGTGGAAAGGGGTGAAGGAAAAGGCTGACGAGACTGAGGGAGGCAGGAGGAGGCCGGAGGGGCGCGCTGCGGGGAGCAGGTGGGCTGGGGAGCCGGGCGCGGCTGACTCTCAGACCTCACAGAGTGAGAGGGACATTTCCTCCACAGACAATGGCTCTGAGAGAGAGGCTCGGAGGAGCCAGGACTAGCCAAAGGCCCGCTGGAGAGGGGAGGGAGGCTCAGGGCGCGAGAGCGCTGGGTACTGCCAGGGAGACCGGAGTCATGGAGGCAGGCCTGTGTGTGCAGTGAGGAAAGGGACTATTGAGACAAACTACTCTCAAAGAAGACCATGAGGGCCTCCCTGGTGGTGCAAGGGTTTAAGCACCGCACTATGAAGCAATCCCCAGCCTCTGCAGTGCGAGTTCGATCCCCGGCCAGGGAGCTACCCACATGGTGCGGCAGACCTCTCCTGTCTCGCCCGCTGCTCCCCTCAGCAGTGTATTTCAGGAGATCCGCCTGTTCTGTTCCCCGCTCTCTCTCTGGTGAATCCTCTTTCTGGTGAATCCTCTCTCTCACACATGCATCTCTGGCCTGTACCCCAGGTCTTGTGTGCATAAATAAATCAACCTTTAAAAAAGTAGACGACCATGAGGACAGGCAGGTGCCTTCCTGGGGAGACCATCTCCTTCCTCGAGGCCGCAGCAGGATCCCCATTCCCTGCGCCTCACTCCTCCCCCTCGCCCATCTCCCCCAGCTAAATTTATGACTTCAGGGCTGGCCTTCAGGAATTAGGAATATTTATGCTTTCTTTGAGAGTAAAGTTTAGAAGGTGATAAATAAGGGGCCGAGGTGGGGTGTGCAGCTGGGGGCTCCTATTTTTAGTGTGGCCACTTTCACAAGGCCCCCCACCCACCAATTCCCTCTCATCCCGAGCCAGAGAAGGGAGCACTGAGGGAGGCCGGGAATGGGTTTCGAATACCAGGAAGAGTTTGCTTCTAGAGAGGCCCTCAGAGGACTGCAGTTCTGCAGCAGAAAGGATTGGAGGCAGGTGGGGGAGGAACTTTCCAAACATCCTGGCATTCTTATAACCCCTGGAGTGCAGTTAGGTATTTCTGCAGATGAAGAGAAATAGGGAGAAGTCGGTTTCCCCTTTACCCCCCTAAGTTCAGTTGCTGAGGAATAGGGAAGAGGAGCCAGGAAATTCAGAGGCAGGTTGCTCTGGGAGGTCACCTCCCTCGCAGGCGAGAACTATTTCAAATGCCCCACCCGCCAGAGCCCTCGGCCTGGCCCAGGCCTCTGGGAAAGGAGGCTGGGAACGCGGGGCTCTGGGCATCTCCTAGGAGTCTCAGCCCACCAACCTGTCCACCCCCACTGCTGCCTGTGAATTGAAAACAGCCAATGGTTCTCCATACTCCTTGCCCTGGGCCTCCAGGAAGTGAGGGAGGGGGAGAGGCTCTGCTCCCAGATCCACATGCTTTCTCCAGCCCTCAGCTGTAAGAGCCTAGCTGTGACCCCCAGCTCAGTCTACCGTAGCCTGGGCTTGGGTAAGTGGTGAACAAAGATGGGGGGGCTAGGATATAAAGGTGGTCTAAAGAGAACAGAGAACTGGGGAAGAGCCGCACCCCCAACATACTGTGCCCACCGTTCACTAAGGCCTTAAACAGGCCGGCCACAGTGCATGCGTGGACACTACCCCACACACACTCACACACACTAAACCGCTGCCTGTTGTGGGAGAAGGGAGGGGCGAAGGGTCTCGACTGGCCCTTTAAGAGCTACTTAGGGTCAGAAAGCCTGGGCTGCACTGGGGGAAGGAGCTGATGTCAGAAGACGGATGGGCAGCAAGATGGGGATTGATGCTAATGGGGGAGTTAAAGCTAAGTACCCAGACACTCAGAGGGCAGAACTGCAGATCTGTCTTCCTTATGCTCACCCCCCCACCCTCCCCAAACCAAGGCTGTAAATCTGCCTTCTCAATTGGGGGGAGGGGGGGAGGAAAACCAAGATGCTCTCTTCTCCCTTTTCCTGTTTTTTCCTTACAGTGCTGCCCGCCCTCACCCCATTCTTTTGTCCTCTCCCCGTTTCTCCTCCTAATCTAGCACCCTTTCCCACTGAAATTTCCAGCTGTTGGCTTTCCATCAGGCATTGAGGGGATGGCTTCACCTTGTAGAAGCTTAAAAGGAAAATTCCAAGGTCTCAGCAAGGACTCCAGGGTGGGACTGGGCTGCGGGATTGTGGTGAGAGACTGGGGAGACTGGAAGCTCCCAGCTGCCTCAGTTTCTCTTCCCTCCACCCTCTTCTCGCTGGGAAGTAACTCTAGCAGCCTTGTCCCAGGACGATAAGGTGAAGGCAGGGAGCGGGGGTTGGGGGCTAGGCGATGGGAGGAACGCCAGAGCTTCCGAGCTGGGCTTGTGGAGGCCTCTGGCACACACGGAGATGCTGGAGGGGCCAGCAGGCCTCGGAGGCCGCTAGGGAAGCAGCAGGAGCTGTCCACCAAAAGATAGATGGTCTAGTTTCTCGGAAACTCCTAGATCGCACCGTTCCCTCTCCTTGAGCACCACACCCTGCCTGCTGAGTAGAGGCAACTTCAGGCCAATAGTCAATTTACTGTAAAGGCAGGGTCCAGTTCCTCAGACTTCTCAGGAGGCGCTGGGGGCTCAGGCAAGAAGGCCTTCTCAGAGGCGCTGGAGGCGTTACCCTGGGGAATTCCATTCCTTCCTTGTCTTCCGGGTGAGACTGTATTTCCTGTCTCTCAGGACCCATAAGCACCCTGATCTCCATCTCCACTGGTGGTCAAGCCCTTTTTTGAGAAGTCCCTCTTCACCTCCTCTGTTGCGCTGCTAATCCTGAGCTCCTTTCTAGTCTTGGCAGCAACTGATACCTGAATGCTCCCTGGGTCTAAATCCTCCTTCAGTATCCATAAGAGAGTGACTCCAAGTCATCAATGTCTTCTCTTCCCTCCTCCCAGGTTTTCCTTCAGAGGCCTAAATCTCCTGGAGGGCATCCTCTGTTTACTGAACCCTCGGGTACCAGGGAGAGAGCAAGGGTGCAGTGGGAAAAGGTGGGGGTTGTGAGAGGAGCCCAGGAACCCGGGCTTCCAGTCTCACAGCATCTGGCCAAACACTCCCTCCTGTCCAGGGAGGTCAGCCACTGCCCTCAGCCCTGGTCTCTGACTGCTTCTCTATCCTGATGATAAATCCTGTCTTTGTCTCCCCTCCAACCCAGGCCCCAGGCGGCTGAGGGTCAGAGGCTGGGGGAGGGGTCAATGTGGAGGAGGGAGAGATGCAAGCAGAGTGGGAGGAGAAGATGGACAGGAGCAGCTGGGGAGCAGGCATGGGGGTGGGCAGCGAGGGGCTGGGGCCTCCTGATTCCGCAGATCCTGACTGCGCATTCCGGCAGGTCTGCATTCCAAGTGAGAAAGCCAGGATTCCTGAGATATGGACATCCCAGGGGCTGGTCCCCAGCACCAGGAGTCCTGGGAGAGGGGTTTGGTGTGGGTTGCCTCAAGAAGGAGGCAGCTGCAAGAAATGGAGAATAATAACATTGTGGGAATATTCTCTATCCCCATCACAGCCCCTTGCACGCTCATTCCTCACACACGCACACAGACGTGCGCACAACACACACACACAAGATTTATGGCCCATCAGCAGGAGGGAGCCCAGGAGAGCCAGACTCCCCCATGCCAAGCCCCTCCCCACATGCCTTCCCTGGCTGTGACTTTCCTGTCTCCATCTCTCCATTCTCCTTCTCTGCTCCCAGTCTTGTTTCTCTCTTTGCAGCGGTTCCCTCACTCTCCCAGTTTGTTATCCCGGCTTTCTGCTTCCCGCTATAGCCTCTTTGTCTCTCAGTCACTTTCCCCCTCTCATTGTGCTTCTCTTTCCAGCTTCCGGTCCCACACCTCCTCCCCCACTCCTACTCTCTTGGCCTTCCCATCTGTTCTGCCGCCATGGCTCTTTGGCCAAGCCATCCCCTACCTCACTCCCAAGCCCTCTGACCAAGGCGGACAGTCGGGCTGCATGGAGGCGTGAGGAGGGAAGAGGCTGGTGGTCTGGGGTCCTATGTTCTGTGTTACGAGATGGGATGGTGGGGGGTGGTGGCGGAAGCCAGGGGACCAGGAGAGAAACTGGACTTGGGGAGGAGGGGCGAAGTGGGAAGGAAGAGACATTAATAGAGAAAAGACACCGAAGGGTAAACACCAAAGAGAAAAGAGTAAGGCCTCAAGTTTCCTTTCGAGCATGTTTTGGGTCAGTCCGAAGGGGAGGAGCTGAAGGGCACCTGTGTCAGACACTGAGCCACAGACCCAGAAACAAGATTTGGAGACCCAGCCAGAAAAACAAAGATGCCCTGGGCGCCAGGCCATCACCAGTCTGGGGCCCTCACCTACACGGGAGGGAGGGTCTCCTACACCTTTCTCTTCTGCTGTCTCCTGTCAGAGCGCAGGCGCAGGCTCCCTCCACTTGCCCCCACCTACCCTCTTCTCCGCCCCCAGGAAATGAAATCAGCTCGGACTGTGCTGTCCTCAGTCCTGCCGATGGACGCTCCCATGGGGGAAGCAGAGGCCAAGCACCTCTGCCCCACCCGTTCATTCTCCAGTCTAGGAGCTGGGGCCTAAACAAGTCAGCACCCCAGGGAGGGAGTGGGAGGAGGCCGTGCCAAGAAGGCCTCTGTCGCGGGAACTGGTGGGGGACAGGGGGAGCAGGAACACTAGGGGAGGGAGAGGAGCTGGAGGGGAGCACTTGAGGAAGAGGGCCTGAAGCACTAAATCACCCTGTGGGGGGGCTCCCTCTGCCAGAGCTCAGTGGGGTGGGGAAAGGATAGACATTGGGGAAGGGGGGAGAGAAGGATGGGGAATCGCCACATCTGGCAGGCAGGTGTCTGGCACTGTTCAGGCAGGCTGCAGTCACTTTCCCCGCCAGAGGGGAGGAAGGGGGAGGGGAGGAGGGGCTTCCAGAGTCCCCTGGGAAAGAGGGAACGGCTCACAGACAGAGGCCCCAGTCAGAGAGAGAGCAAGGGAGGGAGTACCAGGCTCTGCGCCCCAGTCTTTGCTCCAAGCAGTGCTGGATGTGTTTGCTTGGGGTCCTGAGAGAACACTGCTGGCCGGAGGGCTGGGAACGCCGGGGTACCCGAGTTCCATTCCTGGTGGGAAACAGAAGCAGCTGCACAGGTTCCAATCCGGCCAGCCTGGGAGAACAGGCTCAGAGAATTCCAGATCTGAGAACCGGATAGAACTGCATTCTCCACACCACCACTGATCAGCACCCCTAATCCTTTTGCTGACCCACAGCCACCCCCACTGTCCCCAGTCAGTGCTGGAGGATGAGCAGGAAGATCAGGATGGTCAAACTGGACACTGCAGACAGGCAAACGCTGACACCTGGCCTTGACTGCAGGGGACACACCCAGGCGGTTTTTTTCCTGTCTGTCTGCTGAGGGGGACTCCCAGGCACTGATGCCCATAGTTGAGAACTTAATAGCCGGGTTCTCAGAGCAGCCTAGGCAGGCCTGGACCGCTGTCGGTTTCGGCCTAGATGGAGAGGCTCCTCCCACTCCTGTTACCTTCCTTGCCCGACCTTCCCCATCTGAGGCCCTGCTGCGGTCTCCCTTGCTTAATCCTGCCATCGCAGGCCCATCTCACGAGCAGTAGAGGTGGCCGAGGCCCCCCTGCCCATGGCCGTGCAGAGGAGGGCTCCCCACACTTGCCCCTCCTCAGAATCCTGCAGAGGAAGGGGGAAAGAAAACCAAAGCATTCTGTCGCCGCGGCAACCATAAAACCCCCAGCTAAATCCATCTTGTGAGCTCACCGCCCCATTAAGATGCAGGGCCAGGCTCTGCGCCAGCCCAGCCACATTCATTTGTGCGAATAAAGGTGGAGGGGGGAGGGGAGCAGGCTCTGGAGGGACGGGAAAATGGCGAGAAGAGGTTATTTACACCACCGTCCTGACCTTCTGGAGCAGCGCTGGCTCCGATAAATAACCCGCTCAGCGCCATTTCAGAGCAGGAGTGGGAGGTGCAGCAAGGGGGCAGGGGCTGGAGGAGAGCCCCACGCAGGTGCGCGGCTCTGGGTTACTAATGGCTGAGGCGGGAGCAGGCAGCTGGCTCTGGGGCTGATGGGGGGAGAACTCAGTTCCCCGGGACTCCCACTGAGAAAATACCATCCCCACCCCACCCCTGGCGCCAATTTCCAGGCGCAGGACGGAGAGATGCCAAGGAGGCAAACAGCCCCGTAAATTAGGGATTTGGGGGAGTCTCTGAGGTAGGAGGAAAGAAATATTATAAGATGGGGTGGAGGGGGGAGAGGAATAGGAGCAGCTGCCAAAAAGAGAGGAAGAGGAACAGAAACACCACACAAAGGCAGTTTGGAAAAAGAAATCTGTTTTATTCCTCTTTGCACAGAGCAGTACATGACGGTGGCGATCTCCTGACTCCACACAACCCTTCCACAAAAAACGCCCCCTCGAATGTGCCCAGCATCCACCCACCCCACCTTCGGTCTTGGAGAACTGGCACGTATCGGGTAGGGCAGAACGCTTAAGTCTCAGGAAGGTTTTTTGAGGCATTTTTGTGGGAAGGTCTGGGTTCAAAGGGTGAGTGTTCTCTCCTCCATCTTCCAGGGGAAAGCCAAACCTCAAAGGTTTTCTGGAAAAAGGCACCTCTCTCATGACCGAGGGAGAGGAAAAGCCGGGGCCTACCGCCTGGATGCAAGGCTGAGGCAGCGGGAGGACAGGGTTAAGCAGCAGACTGCAGACCCGAGGCAGAGGAGTGAAATGCATGTGGGGGAGCCAAGGGGACTGAGGGAGCCCAGAGGTCCAAGTCATAAATTCCACCCCCTCCCCAGTTCTGAGCAGAAACTCTTCTTTCCAAGACTAGAATGGAGTTTTAGTTCAGTGACTGGCTTGGCTCCAGGGTACAGAAAGGACAAGCCAAGCCAAGATCCCATGGAGAGTCAAGGTGGAGAGTTAAGGTAGCAGACCAAGAGACAGACACTCCCGCGAGGAGCCACAGCAGTTCTGAAGCCAGGAGCCAGGACCGGGGTACACAATGCAGCTGGGACTGAAACACAGAACTCACAAGTCCTCTCCAGTACTTTAAATCACTGCTTGCTCCACCCTGTCCCCTGCCTATGAGCTCTTCCCAATCTTTTCCAAGGCTGGAAAATAGGACAGTAAGACGGAAGTACAGAAAAAGCTGAAGCCAGAAGTAGGGCTGCAGCTGGGGCTGGATATACCTCTTCCCCCCACCCCCACTCTCTCTCTATGGAGAGAATTCTCTCGCCCTCCCCTGGATGGACATATGGGCTGCTGGGATGAAGGCCTAAAGGCAAGGGAGGAAAACACTCAGCACATTCTTTCTTCTGCTTTGATCTGAAGTATAGCTGCAGCAAAGGGCACAGAAGTTGAGGGGCAAATGTGGGGCGGGGGAGGAGGGGCAGGAGTGCCTGGAGCATAGTCCATGCTCCTTCCTAGAAAGCGGGTGCTTCCCCGGCTCTCTGTACAAATCTGCTGGGAGCTTTACTCCCAGAACGGCAAAAAAGAGGGAGAAGGATATGGGTAAGGAGGGCGGGGGGCAACCACAAACAGAATGGAGGTTGAAGGATCTCTTGTGATCCCCGAGATGACCCTGAGAGCATCAGTTGGGGGACTAGATGAGAAGTCACAGCAGACATGTGGATTTTTTGAGGGGTGAGGAGCCAGGAACAATGGGGTCTTCACCGAAGGAGCGACCACTTGATCTGTTCTTTGGCTGACTGCAGCACCTGCAGGACAAGGGTGGCATTGAGGGATCTGCTGGGGGGCAGGGCAGGGATGGGGACAGGGGCTCTCCTTCCCCTCACTTGCCTTCCCTGTCCTTAGAAGAATGGCAAATAGAAAATCCCCAAGGATAGAGGGATGGGAAGAAGCTCTCTAAGGCCCTAGAGGACTGTCAGTTTGGGAAATTCCAAAAAAATTCAAATCCACTGGGGGGATGAAGAGAGAAGAGGTATACCTGGGAGGAAAGAAGAAAACTGGGGGTTACTGGACATGTTTAAAAAAAAGGGGGGTACCACATCCAGATGGACTTGTTGGTGAGATTCCACATGGATAGAAAAAAGAATTCCTCCCTTAACCCTCCCCTCCCATCAAGTAAACAAATCTATCTGTAAAGTAGCAGGATGGATCTGCAAAACCTGCCTCTTCTGGAATATGTATTTTCAGCTTAGCCCTCATTTGAATAATAAGAGAAGAGAGAGAGTATGTGTGTGCACACACGGACCATCTGCTTAAGGCAAACCTCTGCTGGGGAATAAATCATTGAATGAGGCATAAGGCAGGGAGGATTTGAAGGGTGCAGAGCAAGGCTCACAACCACAGCTCACAGGAAACTGGGCAGGATTTGGGGTGGAGTAGGGGGCATCTGGCTGTACTCAAGTCCCAGTTTTCTGGAATAACAGAGAGCCAGAGAATATGTGTCTTCAGTTTCCGGTCTCATGCAGACTTGAAGGGTTGGGGTGCAATGCTATTCTAGCCTCTTTAGGGGCCAGTGCGTCTAGTGAGGGAAAAGGAAGACAGCCATACCTGAGACACGGTCTGCTCCGTAAGGGGCACATCTTCACCCTACAGCAGAGAAACAAGCATTCAGTGGGGGAGAAAGCTGGAGTGAGACCTGACTGCAGTTTAGTAAGGGAAAAAGGAAGCTCTGGTCTTTTAAACTGAAGCCCTAACTTCTTAGTTCCTTCCAGGGATCACTGCAACCATGATTTTGTGTGGCCAGAGGGACTACGAACAAAAAAGGGTCATTTTATCCATTTTATTTGGGTCATTTTATTTTAAGGGATGAAGACTTTCTAGAAGATTAATTCCAAGTAATCAGCAGGTTATCTGATCCCCAACTTTGGTGTGGGGACCTGACTCCCTAGTCACAAAAGACCTTCCCTGAATATCAATCTCACTAGGGAAAGGATGAGGGGGAGCCAGAGGTAGTTTAATGGATCCCGCAAGGCCTGATGGGTAACGGCAGCATGTTAATTTGAAGAAATAAACTGCTGCAACAGCAGCCTGAGAAGGGGAAGGAGGGAGCTGATTTGGGGAGGGGGGAAGCTCTCTCTTGCCACATAGAGACATATGTTAGAGGAGAAGATTAAACTATGCAAATGGAGCCCAAGGCAGTTAAGGGAAAAGATTTCCCATTACCCAGCACTGTGAGATTTCACTCTGTGGAGGTCAGAGCCGGGACATCTATGAACGCTCTGACATCTCCACACCCCCACAATTTGCTCGTGGGCTCTCTCTGTACCCACCGTTATCTTCCCAGCAGACTTGAAGCTTCTATGGCTAACTTGGACGCCCCTTTCTGATATCACTAGCACCAAAGAGGACTGCAATTCCAGCAAGTACTTCCTAATGGAGAGGTGTTGTCCTCAGTTAAGTAAGATTGTAAAAGACAAGAAGGACATTCCTCTGCCTCAAATGACTAGGATCCATCCCCACGGAAGTATAAACCGACCTAAAGTCCGTTTATAATTTCAGAACCATTAATAATATCCTTTTATCTAATCACTGATTCAATTAGTATGTATGAATTGTCCACCGGTACCAGGTAAGAGGAGGAAATATATTCCTTTTGCTTGCTTTGGGACAATGAAAATTTGAAAGGGAAGACGTTGCATAGATCTTATGAGCCCCACCCTTCCGTGCACTCAGCAGGTCTGGCCTGTGAGGGGGACCAGATGGGGCGATGTAGGGGAACACAGTCTACTTACCCTTAATGCCACTCGATGTACCACTTGCTGGGGATCGCTCTCTAAGATCACCCTACAAAGACAAAGAAGAGACCACCGTTCATTCTGTCCTGATACCTACTGTGGGGACTCTGACCACCTGGCCGACTTACCTTAGTACAGGGGTCAGTCACCCCACCCCCTCACCCAGACACAGGAGGTCTACGCAGCTCTGAGGAACTCACCCTCCATCTACGATTTCATCCACGGCCAAGAAGAGCCCTTCCATGTTCTCCAGCAGAGCTCGCTTTTCTACATTTTTCCTGAGTCCCCAAGAGAAGAAAAAAACCAGCTGTGTGTGAAAGAAATCCTAGGAGATCGTCTGAACTGGGGACCCTAAACTAGACTAATGAACCACAAGGAGGAAGAATACAGTAAATAAGAACTTTTTAGTTAATTCCCTCTAAATCCTTTCCTATACTTTATTTGCTGAGTAAGAATCAGGAATGTCAGGAAGGAGAGTGAGAAAAATACAATTTCTAACTGTTCAAGGGTTGACGATCCAGAGCTACTGCTTCCTTCCTACCTGCCATGATGCTGCTGTGACATAAACATGGATACCGGTGGGAAGGAAAAAAAATAAACGGAGTAAAAACTCAACCCGGCGGTGGCAGGAGAGTAAGAGGTTGAGTACAAACGCTATTCACACTCAGGCTCCAGTAATCCTTCTAGCCCTCTCTCCACTGTCTGCCTCCCCCTTCCTCACCAGCTCTGCTTGGGCCTTGAAAAGAAGCCCAATGAGGGAGTTGGGAGCAGTCAGGACCCGCATCTACCAGCCTCAGATCCGGTGGTTGGTGCATGTGGCCACTCACATCCGTCAGTTTGACTTTCACTAGATCACCCGAAATGAAGCCTATTCATTCACCTGGCTAAGAAATAAATCATCCCCTTCCTGAGGAAATCTGAGCCATTCGCCCTGCTGATTTTGTGGGGCTGAGAGCGCCTGCTGTTCAGCTCCGGATGGCTGTCTGTACTGGGTTCACTTGGGAGCTGCTAGGGGAATGGAGTTCAGAGCCCTGGATGTTTTCAGAAAAAGGAGCTTATACCTCTTCTTTTGCCCATCTCCATGGGGAGGTGGGAGGGGAGGAGAGGACAAACGGCACACACATTCTTCCTGTTCTATAGAAGGGGAAACTAAGAGCTTGAGGTGAGAAGCAGAACCCCACCTGCACTCCCAAGGTATGATATTTCACCTGGGACAATCCCTATGCGTGCCCTTTCCCAACCTCTAATGTAAAGAATGAAGCCCAGGAAAACAGCTTCAGGGTGCATAGAAGTCTGACAGGCCTACTGGGGAATAGGAGTGCAGACAGAGAGTTGAAGATTTGTTCCCTCCCAATTCCTCTCCTTAGGAGAATTATTCCACTGGAGGGACACAGCGTCCATCCCATCCTGCCCATCAGTGCAAATTACTCTGAAATTATAAGTCCAACCTCTCAAACTAAGCTGACTCCCGAAGCTTCCACTGATTCCTCTACCAACCCTGGGTCTGAAGAAGTGACTTTTCTCCCAAACGGATGCCAGAAATGGCCTGCTCACCTCAGCATCTGGCTCAATGAGTCGAACAGGCAGTTCAGAACAGCCATGAGCATTAACTGTTGGGAGACAGAAGTAGCACATAGGTAAGGTTCAAGGCCCTGAAAGCTGCCACCTGAGAATAAAACCCTATCATTCATTAAACATCAGAGACACAGGCTTTCACAAAGGACCAAAAACTTAAGGTAGAAGCGAGAGTGAAACAGGAAGAGGACCTGTGGTTTCTCATATAAATAAATGCTGCTATGTGATCCCACAATTTGAGGTCTCTGGCCACTGTTCAAACAGAACTTTCCTGTCTTAGTCCTCTACGTTTTTGCCAACTGTGTATGTGTTATCTGGTGTCTTAGGTAGAGAAATCATTAACCAAGTAATAGCTGAGGTCAAAGAGTTAGTGGAAAGAACATGGGCTTTGGAGCCAGACAGATCCGAGCTTAACCCCACTGAGCCATTTTCCTAGAGGTGTCACCCAACCCTGGGAAAATCATTAGTTGAGCTACATGAAACTACAACTTTTGTTTTTTTGTTTTTTAAAAAAAGATTTTATTTTGTTTTGCATAGAAGAACTGGGGTGTAGGCCAGAGATGCAGGGGGGTAGAGGATTCACCAGAGACAGAGTGGGGAGTAGAAAAGGCGGATCTACTAAAATACACTGCTGAGGGGAGCAGCGGGTGAGACAGGAGAGGTCTGCTGTGCCATGAGGGTCAGCCTCCTGGCCAGTGATCCAGCTCCGGCCACGGAGGTGATAGCGGTGAGACTTAACGCCTAGGCCACCAAGGAGGCCCAAAACTACTACTTCTGTGGTTCAACAGTGGTCACATACAAGTTAGTTCATATGGTTCGTTTCCTCATCTGTGAAACAAGGGCACTAATGTCTACAGTTCACCAAAGTGCTGTGAGGTTTAAACAGCAGGGTACTTTACAAAGCACTTACAGCAATTACAACAGTCCAGTGAGAGCTGGTTCCCTCTAACTTGTACTTTTGCCAAAAATTACATGGGGGCTTATTTTTAGTTATCTACTGTCCTAGAAGTTTGCTACCTGAAGTAAACAGCTTTTCCTGCCTATAGGATGCAGATTAAGACTACACCCCAGTCTTCTCAAGTGATGCAGACTGTGGCTTCAACAAGACCTAGAATGCTGGCCTCCCTGGTGGCACAGGGGTTAAGCATCAGCACTATCAAGCTATTGCCAGTCACTAAATCACCCAGTTCGAACCCCAGCTAGCCAGGGAGCAACCCACATGGCACAGACCTCTCCTGTCTCGCCTGCTGCTCCCCTCAGCAGTGTACTTTGGTCAATCTGCCTGTTCTGTTCCCCACTCTGTCTCTGGGGAATCCTCTCACCGCCCCCCCCCACCCATGCCCCTAGCCTACACCTCAGTTCTTCTACACATAAATAAGTAAATCTTAAAAAAAAAATTCTGAAAACAAAAAACCACCATCCAGGGAAGGTCACTGATAATCTATATTAATAAGTATTAAAACATACGTGATGATTCCTGCATTGAGATGTAAGATAGGTCTGGGGAAAAAACTTCCCATTCCAGGCTGATTCATCACTAGGTCATGTTTGTGAGGCCGCAGGGATCTCTGCCATCATTAGCCTGGGCAGAAGCCGGAGGGCCATCATAGCCCCATGGCCAGAACCAGTAACTGTGTCTTGCCTGTGGTTTAGGAGGGAGGGTCAGAAAGAGCAAAGGGTAGAGAGTCTCACCTCATTTTCATAGGAGCTGCCAATCACGTAGAAATAGAGATCAATACTGCTTTTGTAGACCACTGTCAGGCCTTCCAGGAGGGCAATTTCACCTGGAGTGGGGGGCACAAAAGGAGGAAAAATGGGTAGCCTGACACAAGGAAGGAGGACAGAGGAGTTGCCATGAACTCCGGGTTATCTAGCTGTTTTGGGCTGAGGTCAGGTAGGTCATGATGACCCCCCAAGACAGAAGTTGACCTACTTTATCTTTCTGAGTGGAGGCAGAAGTATCTACTTGGCGAAGTCTAAATGCATCTTCTCTTCTAACCACCCTCCCCCCCACTATCCTTATTTCCCTCCTTGTGTATGAGACAGGATACTAGTCGATCCTTCGGAGGTGAAAATGCAGAGCGGTCACCTTTACAGACTTCCATTTACCTGCCCTAATGGATGCGGTACAATAAGCAGAGCTGCAGTTAAATTTGTCAAGTGAGGCTCATAAATCCAGGGACTAGACAGGTAGCTAACAGCCAACCTTCCAGCACGGTATTCCCGCGTGAGGTACACTCACCTCCCCATTACATTTCTGAAGAGTTTATTATATGAGGGGAGGAGGAAAAAAGAGAAAAAGGAGGCAGTCATTTTATCCTCTCTCTGCAGTCCTGCTCCACCCTCTCCCTCAACACAGGGAACGGTGAAAGGAAAACGACATACTGTCAGTCCGATGGGTCTTGTTGAAAATGTTCTTCTCAAAGGCCTTTTGCTCCTTGACACTGGGATAGGTGTCGTCATAGTACTGGTCAGAGGGAAAAGAGATGGGTTCCGTCATTAGAGCCCGGAGCCCAGAATGATTAGCGACCGTTTTGCCCTGGATCTTTGCCTCTCTCCTTCAAGGCAAGGGGTGAGAGAGAAATACTAACATGAAGGAAGAACTGTCGAGGCAGGGAATGGGCGCTGAGCAGTAGAATATCCCCACCCCACCCCCCACCCAAAGAAGAGTTGAAAGGCCCCTGCTAGAAGCAACTCCACCTCGGAGTTCTAAAACTGTGAAGGCCGAGGCCTGCACGCCTTGTAACGAGGCTCTGACTCTGTGCGCCCTCTAGGAGAGTGAGGCTTCTCAAGGGCCTCCAGGAGCTTCCCCACGTCAGGGTGCAGTGGTGAAGAACACAAAAGGCACTAACTAGCAGCCAGAACACTTCTTTCAGATCCTCATTCACTGGATTGTGTTGAAGAATAGGAAAAGGCCGCAAAAACCTCCTCTAAAGAAAGGGAAAGCGGGGGCCTTTCTGGTGGCGCAAGGGGTTAAGCACCGCACTATGAAGCAATCCACAGCCTCTGCAGCACAAGTACGATCGCTGGCCGGCCAGGGAGCAATCCATATGGCGAAGCAGACCTCTCCTGTCTCGCCCGCTGCTCCCCTCAGCAGTGCATTTCAGTCAGTCCACCTGTTCTGTTCCCCAGTCTGTCTCTGGTGAGTCCTCTCACCCTGCGGCCCCCCTCCCCCGCATCTATGGCCTGCACCCCAGCTCTTGTATGCATAAATAAATAAATCTTTGGGGGAAAAAAAAGGCAAAGCTACCATAGGCTTTCTCACATCTTAGCTTTCCTTTCTACACACTGAAAGAAGCAGGAGGCAACCAGTGCATTGCTGAGCATACTCCCGGGCTCTCCCTGGCAAGGGGGCGGAGATGCGGGCTGCTAAATGGCTCTGCTCTTTAGGGGCTAATCCGTCGCAGTCAGCTGAAGACCTATGACAGGTCTGGCATTTAGTAACTGGATAACTGTTTCAAAAGGTGTCCTGCATAGTTACATCCAATTACAGGGAGGAACAGCTGGTGAATTCTAAACTAATCTCTACCTGCTGATTGATTTATGCTATGCTCACTCGGAGTTAATACACCAGGGACAGAAAAAAATCTCCAGAGGAGGGGGAGCATACAGCAGGAGAGGAGAAGGGGTGTCCTTTCTCCTCTCTTTCAATGGATCCAAAGTTAGAAACATCACACTGGGGAAGTCAGGAGAAATTGGTGGTGACTGCAAAGCTGGGGCTGGAAGCCTGGAACTGCAAGAGAATTCCCTGGGGAAACCCGGGCTGGGTGACAAGGTGGGAGGGAAAGGGGACAGGGAGGATGGGGGTGGGCAGGCCAGGCCGCTTCTCACATCTAGACGCTGCTTTGTTCAGAAAGCAACGTTCCTGAGCTTTTCTCTGCTGTGATGCTGATAACGCAGGAGATCAAAGCAGGGAAGCAGGGCCACTAAGAGACGGAGCAGGTTAAGTTTTATCTGAAATGGTCATGGGGACAGAAGAATTCTCAAGATCACAATACTAAGGGACCTCTGAGTAAGTCTTGTCTTGCTCCTAATTTGAAAGGGGCTCTCACCTTGGCAAACAGTCGATCTCCATCATTGTCCAGAATCAGGATGGCTTTGACAGTGTACAGGGAGGGCTCCTGAAGAGACAAGAAAAAACCCTTCAGTCCTGAAGGCTGCTGTCACCTGGCGCCTCAGATACCTGCCCCTAGTCCCACTGAGGGTGCAAGGGGACGCAGAGGGGACTCTGTACATGTCCCCTAGCCCCACCTGTTTAGATTTTGGCATTTCCCACTGAAAATGACCACATGGTGGGAACTGAATGGAGGAAGGGGGCGTTCCACAAAGGACTGCAAAGCAGCATCAGTTCTCTGAGCCTGGCTCATACAGAGGCCCAGAGCAGTCCTGCTGTTATTTCCAAATATTAAATATTATGCTACAGTTATTTTCCAAATTACCCTCCCTCTCTGATCTCCCAAGCAGGTGGGGATGGAACATGACCAGATTCATTAATAGGCACTGCGCGAGGCCATTTGAAAATAGGGTTGAATGCCCCAGTGTACTTGGAAGTTTCTGCAATCCCAATGCAGTGGCAGTGCGGAGACATAAAGCCAGCCTTCTCTGAAGCACCCACACTCTGAGCAGCAGGAAATGAGCATGCGAGAGTGTGGCTGCGCGGCACACACCCCCCCCCCAATTCTGAATGCAGCCCAGCGAGACATCCCTTTCCCAAGATTTCCCCACGATCCTCATTCCTCGGCTACACCCCCAGTGCCACCACTTAGCTCACAGACAAACACTAACCTGAATTTCTTTTTCTACCACAAATGGAACTTCAAGGATACTGGCTGAGCTGAGCCTCAGTGGTTACACTTACACACAAACAACGACAAAGCAAAAAAGTTCTCCTGCAACTTCTAGGAAACCGCAGAGGACAAAAGCCGAGGGAGAGGAATGCGCGGGCGGACCTGCAGACTCGCCTCCTCCGGCTCGCTCATCCATCTCACCTGCCGTACCCCTCTCCTACCCTTGCCACCTCCCTTTCCTGGCCGTCCACAGGAAACCCACAACCCTCACCGGGGCCAGACACATTCTCCAAGCATGTGTTGTACAAAGACCCGCCCAAGAGTGAGGAAAGAATCCTGGCTAGGCAGCGCTGCGGCCCCCACACAGGTAACCCGCCCTGTGAGGCTCCAGCAGGTTTATGGTTCCGCGAGAGTATCAACCCGAGCTTGGGGAGTTCAGAACAGGAGGCAAGGGAACTCGGCCTTTGGAAAACAAAGAGATGAAGAATGCAAGCTTTCCGCACTTGATGCTTGAGAACGTAACTCCATGCTTTGCTCACCGACTTATCCCAAGTGTTCGGAAGAATACGTGCCACGTCTTAAACTCTTAACATTCGTCGAATGATTGAGAGAATAAGTGAAATTTGAGAATAAGGTCAATGCGTCACCATGCAAGAAGCATGGAAAGGACCGTCTGAGGAGGAGACTTTCACACAGAAGTGGGTTTTCTGGGTGGTCACTTTGGGGACTATTACGCCCAACTTATCCTTCTCTGATAAACATTCCCTAGAGACACCCCACCTTTATCCATTACTCTCTGAAATACTCTCTCAAGCTGAGGAACTCTGTGTACAGCAGAGGGGAAGAGTATCATCTAACAGGTCACACACAGAAGCAGCTTTTCTGACTCCTAATTCCCCAGAGAAAGATCTTCCCATCAAGCCACTGGGATCCTCAGTTCACCAAAAGGGAGTTACAATGGGAGCGAGTCTCCTTGGTAGGGGAAGGAGATTCAGGAGACATCATTTCCCCCACACCTTTCCCCCAGGAGTCTTGGCTGGGTTCCCCCCTCCGCATTCACTGCGACCTTCGAGAGCCTCCCGACGGTTTGCGCTGGGCACTGAAATGGCGCAGGGAACCGGCTCCCGCAGAGCCTGGCACCCCTAGAAAGAACGGGACCTCAAAGAGAAGGAAAGCCCTGTGGTCACTGGCCAAGTGGGAGTCAGAAATGTCCTCTGTGGCCAATGGGCTTGATGCCTAGACGGCTGGCAAGAAGAGACACAGGCAGCCTGCGATCTGCCTAGGTTCTTGTCACTGGCTCCCTCCAGGATAGTACCTAGAAATGGAAACACTGGCTTTTCCCGGGAAGGATAAGAGGCAGGCAAAGGATCGGATTTATTACAGTGCTGGAAAGGGCAAGAAGGTACGAGAGAGAAGGCTAGTGATGCCAGGCTTCCAAAGGAATAACCACACTAAGGAAAGCTGAGCTTCTAGGCAAGAGCGTTCAGGCTGCCTGAATTCTCCACTGCCACAGCTGGAGCCAGCAGCTTCCCCTTTACTTCTCCTGCCACCTCCTGACTGCAGCTGGTTCCACCAGCCTGGGGCCTTTATCTCTCAGGAGTGGGGAGGGCAGGAGTCCTCTCCTACCATAAAACCTGCCAGTTTAAAGGCCCCAGAAGCCATTACTGATAATGTAATTTCATTTTAAGTTTTTGCAAAGGGCAAGTTTATAAATAACTCCTAGATACTGAGAAATGGGCTTTCTGGGCAAGGGACAAGGTTGACCTTGTAGCACATTAAATGCTGATTACGGAGAAAAACCCTACAAGCTCAGGCCCATGTCCAAAGGATTTTTAAAAGATCTATTCTTCCCTCCCACATGGGTAGCTGCTAGAAAGCTTTCGAGACAAAGTTCTGTGATGCACTGACTTTCAGAGAGCCACAGCCTGAGTGTATAACAGAACTTCACCTCAAATGCTAATGGTACCTGGAAATGATGTGTAGGCAGATTGGTTTGCGGGAGGTTGGTGGCTCAGGTTAAGATTTTCATGTAAATTTTTATTATCAAGAAAGCTGGACTGGACTCTCCAGGAGAACCGAAACAACGCTGAACAAGCAACTGGCCTGCTGCAAAAGACTCTGATCTCAATCAGGGGCTTCCAAAGCCCAGTATAAAACATCAACATCTCCCAGTATCCCCTCCCCCAGCACACAGAGGGCGAGGGAGGAGGCATCATTCCTAGTGCTGCCCCCTGTGGGCCTCTGGATGACCTGCAGCTTCCTCAGGATTACAGACATGAGCAAAAATACTCCAAAGGCAGCTCTGGATAAAAGTTCTCCCTTCGTGAGTCTTTTAAATCTAACTAGGAGAGATGGGCTCTGAAAAAGCACTGAATTAAGCCTATTCACAATGTACCTAGTAAGGGAACACTCTGGGGTCAGACAGTGATACGCAGGAGAGTGTGGTGAGAGCAGGCAGACAGGATATTTGAGACCTATGACTAATTACTCTAAGATTCATGGGGTGGGGGTAGAGAGCAAGAAGCCTTTGTAGAGTTAGAAGATGCCATCCACAGAGCTGACAGGGCCCAAGGAAGTATCCAGTGGGATTCCTAGTCAGTTCTTTACTCCCCACTTACAGAGAACTAGAAACAAGATGCTCTCCCCTCAACCACATTTATAAACAGTATCAAATCTTTCTGCCGGCTTGTGTCTGGGCAAGTGTGTTCTCCTTTCCTCTCTCCTATTAAACCCAACCTTTTTGGATAGTAAATAAATAAACAAACACCAAGACACGTATTTTGCTCCCTGACCGCCAACTTCTTTAAAATGAAAAGCTCTTTTGGGGATTGAGAGCTCCAGATTGTCAGGCGTAAGCCTAAAGACTTCAGATGAAAAGAGCAGCGTTAGCTGGATGCTATGACAGGGAAGAGCAGTTTTCAGACACTGACCAAGGCTCTGCTTAGACGCAAGCAGCACAGCTCAGGGAAGAACAGGAGCCACAGGGACCACAGAACAGCACACGGCTGACATGAGACCAAAGGTTGGCTGTAAAGAAGAAACCAAACTCATGTCTTAGGAAGGAAGCACTGAAGGCCGGAAGAGACTCCCTAGCAAGAATGTTCCTGTCTGTCTCACACACAGTGTGACAGCACGGTCACCAAGACTTCTGACACTGCAGAAGAAAATCCCCCCTAAACTCCTAAAATGTTTTATAGTCCTGCGTTATATCAGCCATTAACTGCAGTTTTACCTTTCTCTGGGACTCAGCTTTCTCATCGGAGAAATGAAGCCTGACCCACATCAGTTAAGGTTAATACTTTTTTTGAGTTACAGCAGACCCCTTTGATAAGCTGATGAAATCTATGGATCTTGTTACTACAAAAATACACATTCACAAATTTTTATGATTTCATGGGGTTCATAGATCCAGGTTGAGAATTAAGTGAGAGTCCCTCTGAAGATAATAAGATGGGATGGGGAGGAGAGGGGAGAGGGGGGAAATGAGGCTACTTTTGTAAATCATTCACTCTTCTCTGCCCAGCACCAAGTAATGACTTCAATAAATACGTGTGTGGCCTTCATAAATTAATAAATCTGATGGAGAAAACTAACACAGCCAGCAGGGGGAGCAAAGGTCAGTTCCACACCCCACCAGCTTTTGATGACGAAATTTGGTGGCAGTGAGATAATTAAGACAAAGAAAACAAAGTCCCAAGCTTTTCAGGAACACAAAGCCTTAGGAATTTTCTTAAAACTCGGACAGTCTAGGGCCTCCCCGGTGGCGCAGCGGTTGAGCGCTGGGTTGCGAAGCTGCGCGCGGCCTCTGCGGCGCCGGTTCGATCCCCAGCTGCTCCCCGGCCACCAGAGGAGGGTCCCACATGGTGCGCAGACCTCTCCTGCCGCCCGCTGCTCCCCTCAGCAGTGTACTTTGGTCCTTCTGTCTGTTCTGCTCCCTGCTCTGGCTCTGGTGAATTCTCTCGCCCTCCCGCGCTTCTGACTGTACCCAGTGCATGTATAAACAAAAACAAACAAACAAACCAGCAAACAAATAAATAAAGCATGCCTCTATAAAAAAAAAAAAAACTCGGACAGTCTATCTGCTAGAGAATTTTCTGCCCAGGGGTCACACAGAATCTAGTTCTCCAACTATCATGGAAGAGGAAGTGACAGTAATGGGGAACCATCCAGCATCACTGCTGGGAAGAGGGGTGAACTGAACAAGCAGAGGGCAGAGCGCTCCACACCTGAGGTCTGAGAACGTGAGAACTTGCAGCCTTCCTGGTTCAGTAACCCAAGAGCCCTCACTGAAGTATCTCTCAGCAAAGGGAAAAGTCAAATGGGTTAGGTCCATT